AATTTTTTTTCAAATGCTACCTTGATAGTTTTTTAAATTATGTAATTTAAAGTCACATTAGTCATTGCATATATTATATTTTAAGATAAATAAAACAAGACCTGGAAGAGACTTGATGTTTGAAGCATATAAAATTTCTGGTATTCAGTCATTTTTAACCTAAAAAGTATCAATTTCATATGGTCCCCACTAATAGATAATGCTACTGTATATTTTCTATAGTTATATTTTATATCAATTCATTTTTATTTTATATAAAATACCTAAGCCCTGGCTGGGTGGCTCAGTTGGTTGGAATGTCGTCTCCATACACCAAAAGATTGCAGGTATAATATAATTTTGGTCAGGGCACATACCTAGGTTGTGGGTTTGATACCTGGTTGGGAAACGTATGAGAGCCAACCAATCAATGTTTCTCTCTCACATCAATGTTTCTCTCCCTTCCTTGCTCTCTAAAGTCAATGAATATATTCTCGAGGCTTTATTAAGTATAGTAGGAAATTTTTCAATATTTGATATTTTAAAAATACATTTCCCAAGTTTTTCTTACAGATAAACAAATGTAGAGTGTTATCATATAAACTAAATATCCATTGTGAAATAAAATCTATCAGTTATCAATACCAGCATTATCATCAATTCCAGGAATTATAAAAAAATAAAGTAAATTAGAAAAAGTTTTTGAAAAAGAGTGTGTACAAGATCTTCACCTCATACTTATCATATTTATAATTCACATCTATTTGTTGGTTTAGTCATTTATTATGTTTCCTCCTTTAGATTGTAAACACCATAAAAGTAGAGAGTATGTTTATTTATATGTGTATTTATGTGCATGCGACGTCTATGTATACACGTAATATACATTTACACCCCATACCATGTGTATGTGTAATATGTGCAGATATGTTCATACATTATATGTATAGTATACTATCAGTACACTGTAAGCTACAATAATAAGCATTTTGAATTAATGAATAAATGAAACTTTATCTGACACTATCATCTCTTCTACAATAAATTCCTATCAGTATCACAACATGTTTACTTAGAATGAATTCTCTCCACTGTTCAGGTTTTTATTTACCTTCCGAATTACTCCATTTCAAGTATCTCATAGGCCTTCTTGAATAGGAATGTAAAGAAAAAGTTAACTTAAAATTTCTATTTGTTCCCAGGCTTTCCTCTTTCTCAGCATCTGTTCTTTGGCTTTAGGTATATTTCATTGTAAGTCAACACACAAAGGTCGAAAGTCTGTGATGGACCAGGGAGTGTCTGGCACTGGGAATACAGAGAGCTCTCTGCTTAACTGAGGAGATATAATTTAAAACAAATAAGCATACAGAGAAGTGCCAGCAGAAGTACAAAGTATATACAATGTATTGTGCAAGTTTGAATAGGATGGCTGTGCTTCAGGAATAATTAATATTCAAGGTGTGCGGTAGGGGAAAAATTTCACAGTGACTATGATTAGAATCTCTAAGGAAGACTATATATATAGTGTCTCACTGAATGTGAGAAGGAACATTCATGGTAGGCAGAAGAGGCATGTGCATAGGTGGACTCCCTGCCACTCCCTTCATTTAGTTCTGCTACTGTATCCAGAAGACAGTTGAACCATCAAACTGCTTTGGTCCACTCTAATGTTTCTGAATTGCAAATTTCATCATTTCTTCCTCTTGTTTAATTTGTTTCTCAATTCTCCTAATGTAGTTCAGAGAGTTTCACCTGTACAAAAGGTCTTTTGTAGTCTGGCTGATTGATTATTCAGTGTTATCTGATAATTTCCAGTGTTTTTTTGTGAGTATATCTCAAGTCTCTTGATGTTTGCAAGGGCTATGTTCTCACACCCCAGAATACCTCCTTCTGTTTCCTTCTGCTAGTGGTACCATAGGTAGTTACCTATTTACTAGTAAGAAAGCAAGCAAAGGGAATTAGCATTTAGTTTAATAAATTGGGGAGCATGAGCCCATTTGCTTCACCAGGAAGCTACAGCTTCACTCCCTAGGGTATCACAGCATTGCGCCACCAAGGGTATTAACACTCTTTCTCCCCCCATTTGGTACCAGATTGTTGGGGGGCACAGGAGGAAGTAGTTGATCATAGAGCTCTGTCAGTTTAACTAGGGAATGAACCTATCAGAAGCCTGCAAAAACTTGGGTAGTTGACTGGTTATTTTGAAAAAACACCTGGTCCATCCTAAACCCAAGCTAATATAATCCCAGTGGAACAAAGAATCTCACTCTCTCTCTCCCCCGCCCTCACTTGGTGACCTGTACTCACCCCATGTGTCCAAGCATTCTCTCTTGCCTGGAACACATGTGCCTGTGCAGGTCTAGCAGTCTTGTGTGGGCCCAAAACGACTGTGCAGGCTCAGAAGGACTAAGCTTTAATACGAAGCAGGATTTCTGGATATTAGCTCTGTCTGGCCTTGATTTTCCATGGCAGGATGGAGGGAGATGGGAAATTGTAAACCCGGTGGTAGATTTCCACCTGAATAATCCTTGCTACATCACAATCACCTATGCATAGGTCCTTGGAATGCTTTTCTCATGATCCCGTGAAAAAGCCTGATTCCCACCAGCAACACTAATTCCTACTTGCTTTTTTAAGACCGAACTCTGGTATCATTATATATTCAGAGACACTTTTATGATTGAGTGGGTACTCCCATATCACTCTGTTTATACTTCTTTTTTGATTTGTTTTGTTTTTTACATTTATCAGATTGTGCCATTAGGATGTGGCTTATTGATTTGCTTCTTGCCTCTGAGGTCTCTACTTGCAGGTAACCGCATCTCTTATCTCTGCCTCACTGTGAAGGGCACAAGATATAAGGACTAAGAAACAAAAATTATACTCCGGAATAATTTAAGTTGTTCTCCAGCCCTTCAGAAAGTTAATCTTTTCCACATTAAGTAGTTATGAACTCTTTCGAAATCACAGAATTTAAGTATTCTGAAGAATTTAAGGCTATTTAATGCAGTTTTTAAAAATATTTAAAAATAATATTTCGTGATCCACAATAAGAAATATTCTATATCGCAGCATTGGGCACACATATAATAATATATGTATTCACAATAAAATACTTATACTTACTACTGTACTACTTATGATATAGTAAAAATATACAAAAGTTAATCAGACAAAATTTTACTGTTATTTACTACAAAAAAGAAAAAAATCAAATAATACCAAAATAAACCAAAAACTGCTTTGTGCTGATCCACAAAAATGATTTCAAGTCTCATTAATGGTGATAACCTCCTCCCTATTTATTTTAGTGTAAACTCTCCCCACATTTTATAGATAAAATATGTGAAGTCTTGAGAGGTGGCTCGTCCAGGCAAATGAGTGCAAAGCTCTATCTAGACACATTTAAATCTCATGCTACTACTCACTCCACTACACAATGAAAGTGACACACTGCTGCTAAGAAGCTTTGCACATCTAACCCATTCAGTCTTTGAAACTACATCCCTTGGGCAAAATACCTTTACTAATGAATTCAATTAGTAACTTTCTTATTTTATCTGTGGCACAATCCAAGGTTTTTGACAATATCTATTTTTAAAATATAATACTGATCTGCAATGCAATTAAAAAGGCTACTTAAAATCCTCAGAACTATAAACTCTAAAGTTGATGAGGCTTCAGTATAGAAATTTTACATCTGCAGTGATACTTTCAGAGTGGGCAAGTGAGAGAAAGGTGTCATAAATTGGGAAGAGGAGAACCAGGTTGATGTAAAAGCCTTACCACAGAATTCTGAAAAAAAGAGAACAGAACTTCAGGCTCTTTGCTCACTAATTTTTTAAAACTAAAATTGTTAGCATATCGTATTTGTATAAATATTTGTTAAATAAAACAGTAAGTCTTTCCCACAACACATTTTGTCTTACTCTGCCCTTATCTCGGTAAATAAGAAATACACTCTGTTGTATTTGACCCGGAGTCTCCCTCAGACTCACACTGTTGTCCGAGGACAAGAACACCCATCACTGAATGTCCGGGCCTACAGGCCTACGGTACTATATTTAATTAAAGATAAAATCAGTCAGGGCACATGCCTGGGTTGCAGGCCATGACCCCCAGCAACCGCACATTGATGTTTCTCTCTCTTTCTCCCTCCCTTCCCTCTCTAAAAATAAATAAATAAAATCTTTAAAAAAGATAAAATCGAATAACTGCACAACTATAATGATCATAAATTCATGAATAAATTTGGCACAAGTCAGTGCAGAACACGTGGGAAATTGGTGTCTGCAGGGAGGTCAAGAGCCTCTTTAAGTAGCAAAGTTAAATTAACCCAAAGTTTGGAAGAAGACATTCTGATCATTTCTGAGTCTGTAAAACAACAGCTTGAAATTACCTAAATATAAATATATACAAATTAAGGTAAAGACCTTAAATTCATTAATTGATTGATTATTCTGGAGTTCAATTATGACAAATGTCACATAGACTCTATATCTTGTTAATTCAATAGTTTTAGATATAATCATTTTCTCATGTGCTATAGATAATATTCCCATTGCTACCATACTTTCTATTATTTAGAGTTAAAGAAATAAAAATTCTAATAGACTCTCTACTTACATTTATACTTTATTTTCCCAAAATATACTTCATATAAAAGCAACATAAGATGAAAATTTATATCAAGCTAATGATTATACTAAAGAAATTAAATTAATTATATTTTAAAAACTTCACTTTTTGAAGTATAGGTTTTTTCTAAATGTTTAAATATAATAAATTTATTACTGCATATAATTTCTATTTCTATTACTTAGAAAACAAGTACTGTATTGATTCTTTTTGTTTAACATTTAAAAACAACAAAATAAAACTTCAACACAAAATACAGTAACAAATGGAAAACTTATTTTCAAAGCACCCTCCACCAGCCAACATCAGTCCTGCCTGTCCCAGGAGTTGTAAACCTCTGTCCCAGTTGATAACCCCGATGAGAATAGCCTCTGAGTACTTACGCATACATCATGGACCCAAGACTGGGGCAACTTCTATCCAGTCACCATCTGATCTTTATCAGCCAAGTCAAGGCTCGGAAGCTGGAAAATAATGACAGTCATTGGCATCAAGAAAGGAAACAAGTCGGACAGGTTTTAGTGATTGAGGTCTGCAGCCAGGATATAGCCTGATAAGAGCATGATCAATGTTGTGACAGCCGGTTCCGCAGAAGAGCTCCAAGCCATGGAGGGCACAAAACGTGCCGCAGGTGATGAATCATAAGGCCGCACTTTTCCGGTCGGGGAGGTATGATCAGCACTGAGGTGTGGCCCCAGTTTGTGTTCAAAACAACAACAAAACATTAAATTACATTGATAGCTTTTCTTTTTCATTAAAATTGTCTGTTAACTTTGAGGAAATCCAGGGTTCACAATGGTGCCGGAAAAACCTGTGCTACGGGGCTAGGGTGCCTGTTTTTACCCCCTTGGTCATGTGACCATAGGCCAGCTCCTTTGCTCCTTGGAAGTTATTTTCCTCATAAAATACAACAGCAGGGCTGTATTAGCTTTTTCTAATGCTATTCATTTTAGCTCTAAAGAGAACACATTTTATTTCAAGATTTTATTTAGCTCCAAAAAGGCAAAAGAAAGAAAGAAAGAAAGAAGGAAGGAAGGAAGGAAGGAAGGAAGGAAGGAAGGAAGGAAGGAAGGAAGGAAGGAAGGAAGGAAGGAAGGAAGGAAATTAAAAAAAAAAGACCTGGTTTTTTCCCCACCATGGGAAGTATCATAGTTCTGGTGTATGTAAATTCCCCATTATTTATACATAATCACTTCAGATAATTGTACTCATCCACAGAAATCTTAGTCTGAACACATGAATTTCCAATTAAGATCAGTAAAGTTGTAGGAAGGATAATTTTAAGAGCTATTTTAAAGTATCAGAACCAGGAGATGATAAATAAAAAAGCTATAAGTACACGCTTTGTTGCTCATACAGAATACCTTTATTTAAAATACTACAAATACAATATTAATCTAATATTAAAATGTCATTATAATATTCCACTAAGACATTAATATGTAACATATTTCCTAAATCATTTTGCAAGTGAATAAACTGAGGCAGACTGCCAATATGCATAATCATCAACAATATGACAAACAGAACAATATAATTTTCAGAAGAAAAAAATTCTGAATAAATAGTTCACAAAACTTAGAAGATCACTTAACTAAATTGAAAATCATAATTCACTTTAGCAAAAATAATTTTGTTCTTTGGAGCTTTGATTTTTCTTCTAAAGTAAAAAATTATAAAAATATAATAGAAAAAACACTAAAAGTCTATTTTAGTTTATGGTTATGATCAATTATTATTTTGATTTTCTACACAGTAGTATTGTGCTAACTTTAAATTAGCATTGTGCAAATGTTTGTAAAGTTTTAATGGTTACATTAAAATATTTGTCAACAATAATATTCTCATATTATTTGTTAAAATTCATAAAAATATTCTCAATTCTTTATAATAGTAAATAATAATACAATAGAAAATATACTCTGTGGCTTGCGAAGAAAATTATGCCATAAGAGAAGCATGTCCAAAGTAAGTACAAGAACCAACTTTGAGGTTCTGGAATGAGGCATATAGTATGTACATATTTCTTCTCTTATAGAAGAAAATCAGCATTTTATTAACTAGGAAAAACTGGGGGGAAATTTAGAGATACAGTACTATTTAACTAATAAAAGATTACAGTACAAGCTATCTTATTTTTAAAAATTCAAAAATAAGGACTGAACTGTCTCCCACAGGAAGCTTTCTTTGCTATGTCATTCTTTCAAATTATTTTCTGTTTGGTTGGAAAGGCTCTATTTCTTGTTCATGTTTGGCTTTCTCCCTTCCTTTTATTATCAGTGAATATGTGAAATAATTCACTTTTATTCTCTCTGGTGGAGTGGGGTGTGGAGCTCTCTATGCTCCCAGCAGGATGCCTGGTTTCAGTTGCCAGTTCTATTGTTAACTAACTCTGTGAATTTGAGATTGGTAACTTTCTACATTTCAGTTTCTCTCTGTAAAGTGAAGATAATACTTGTACCTAGTTTTAATGAGATAGTAAGTCTAAAGGACTTAAAATATTTCCTAGTCTATAATAAAGCCCTAAAAAAATCAGGTATTTTAATCTCTCTCTACTCTCATTCCCTCCCCCACTCCAGAATTAGCACTATATTGCTAATTGTTTTCAATATACTTCAGACATGATATTCTCCAAATTCTTTTCTCTATGTGGTTCTATTTTCAGCAACGTATTGTCTCTGGTTTTTTGCTTTACTTATAATAAACAAAGACATTGATGTATTATGTTCTAATTAATGTAGTGTGTGGAGATTTTTCAATTAATGTTCTTATAAGGCTGAAAAACTAGCTGCTAATTCTGAGAGTTAGTGGCCATTAGTAATTTGTACTATAGTTGTGAAATTACTACATGAGAATTTTGTTTCACTGGTTCTCAGCACCCTCAGCCACATGTGGGCAGGCACCATACTAGTTGTTAATGCTGCATTGTTGATTGATTTATTATGAGTCAAAGACAATGAGTGTATGATGCAAATGTCAATGAGGAAAAGTCAACAGTAAGGTAACATTACATCAGGACATCAAGGGAAAAGTTATCCCAGATTTATTGATATAGAAAAAGATAACTGGAGTCTATAAAGGGAATGTGTACATTTTCCTGTAATTGCAGACTGAATAGTAATTAATAAAATTTATGAACTTAAAGTCATCAGCAAAGAAAACATTTAACCTCATATTTACTAATAGGCTAAGTTCTGAGAGCTGACCTTACATTTTGCTTTGTACTTATTAAGGCGATTAGTATACTATTTTTCCATTGAAGAAAGACATAAGGGGATTTGATGAGGATCACATCTTCACTCATGTGAGCACTGCCAAAGGGTGATAATGCAGAAAAGAGGTGACTCTTAAGGGAGAAAATGAGTCCCATGTATCAGAATGGATACATTGCTGACCAAGGAAAAGACCATTTTACATAACCATTTTCTAATATAGTATAAGAATTAATAAAAATTATTTGCCCAGAAAACTGAAATAACAAAAACTGAGGACACACACTTTAAGTCTTCTCAAGAATCATTTCATGTGCTCATTAAATATGGAACTGAGATCAACAAATAATATACGTACATTTATTTTTAATTTCAAAGAGCAGATCTTGGAGTTGTTTGAACCAATGTTTGAGACAACTTTTTTTTAGATTCTAAATGTTTCTTTCAGAAACCTTTATTTTTAAACAAAATGTATATTTCATATACAAGAGAAATTATTTTATTTCAACATAAATTGCTTAATTACTTCATTATAACTATCATCAAAGTTGTAGACATATTCTACTATCATTTAAACATAAACTACTAAAATGATGTCCATGCTGATAAATATCCATCATAGTAACTACAATTTTTCTGTTTTAAGCAGTGTAATGGGACTTCAGGAATGAACTAACATGCCATTATTTGGATGGTCCTCTCATGGTTTTGGAGGTTTCTGTTTTGAACCATGTAATAGTAGCATTAACTAAACATCAAAGATGTAAAAAATATCAGTCTTTTACATCCCAGAAATTTTCAAAACCACAAAATTTTACAGAATTTTAGTTCTTACTCTTTATATTTAAGCATTCTCTATATTTAAAGATAATTTGTTACCTAAGTTATTTTACAAGTAATTATAAAATGTATTTCTGCATTTTTATATGTAGAGTTCATTTTTTTATACTTTGTGATCCATCTATAATCTAGCTAAATGTTGAGAATACAGCAGATACATAAGTAGTTATACTGAAATGGACTATTTCAATAGCACTGAAAATCTGCTTCTAGTAATCAAACAACCATCTATTTTTATTCTTTGGATGATGTTACTGAAAATATGTTAAGTACAAATTGTTTAATTCTTGAAAAAATTTGCAAATTCTTTTGTTATACTCTCATTATACCTATAGTTTATAAATTATCTTCATTAATGACCATTTCAACCTTGCTTCTCTACAAAGAACAGTTCTTATAGATAAATGACTTAATAATATCTGTGTTACATGGTTGAGAATGTCTACAGATATATGTTTCTCGGGTTGTATGGTAGTAACTGATTGACACCTATAATCTCAAAAAAAACAAAACAAACTTGAGCCTGATCTCCAACCTGATAGGCATGTGAATATTAGATGGTAGGAGAGGCTATAAGGAAAAATTACAATAACACAAGCTTCTTTTTCAAATTAATTAGTTAATTTAAATTTTTAAATATATATTTTATTTATTATGCTATTATAGTTGTCCTATTTCCTCCTTTCATTCCCCTCCACCCTGTACACCCTCTTCCACCCACATTCCCCCCTGTAGTTCATGTCCATGTGTCAAGTTCTTTAGCTTCTACATTTCCCATACTATTCTTGCCCTCCCCCTGTCTATTTTCTATCTACCATCTATGCTACTTATTCTTTGTACCTTTTCCCCTCTTTCCTCCTCCCACTCCCCTGTTGCTAACCCTTCATGTGATCTCCATTTCTGTGGTTCTATTCCTGTTCTAGTTGTTTGCTTAGTTTGTTTTTGCTTTTGTTTTAGGTGTGGTTGTTAACAATTGTGAGTTTGTTGTCATTTTTCTATACATGTGTTTTATCTTCTTTTTCTTAGAAAAGTTCCTATGACATTTCATATAATAAGAGCTTGGTGATAATGAACTCCTTGAACTTGACCTCACCTGAGAAGGATTTTATCTGCCCTTCCATTCTACATGAAAGCTTTGCTGGATAGAGCAATCTTGAATGGAGATCCTTGCCCTTCATGACTTGGAATACTTCTTTCCAGCCCCTTCTTGCCTGTAAGGTCTCTTTTGAGAAATCAGCTGACAGTCTGATGGGAACTCCTTTGTAGGTAACTGTCTCCTTATCTCTTCCTGCTTCTAGGATTCTCTCTTTCATTTTTATCTTGGTGAATGTAATTATGATGTGCCATGGTGTGTTCCTCCTTGGATCCAACTTCTTTGGGACTCTCTGAGCTTCCTGGACTTCCTGGAAGTC